GTTCTGGCTGGAATAAGCTTTAATGTTCTGCCTTCACTTCAATTCATCCTCCTGTTCTTCGCCTTTGGATCTGCCAGCGGAGGTGAGTTCACATTTATGAACTATTCACATTCATCTGTGAGTAATAGTGCAAGAAAACATTATTCATTATTCAACAGTATTAAAATCCAATCACGAATAATCTGTGGAAACGGTCCAGTTATGTACTGCTTCATTCATACACACTAATAAACATATACTGATCTGATTAATGAATTACAGTTTATATCCAGTATTGAGGCTGGAAGAATAGAAGAAAATAGAAGTTTTTTTCATAACATTTAAATATTAAAGTATCTTTGAAAAGCATAGCATTTATTTCAAACCGTCACGAATGAGTCCAAAGATGAAGGAAACGGTTTAATACTAGAATAAAGTTGATATTAAATGTTGATGGATTAAAATATCCATAAAACGCTAGATCAGTGTTATATATTCTGATGACTTGTGTGCTTACATTATCCCAAATGTTTCCCAGAATGTTTAAATCCAGAGAAATAATGAACTTTAACCCGTGTGACGTCACACCCTCGAGTTCGGTTTTATTTTGTAGAAACCATATATATAATAATATATGTTATATTAGACAAGGGAACGACTGTTTGGATACATTTATGGACAGAAAACAGATCTCTGTTATATAGCTCAACACTGTTAGTCTTATTGTTTGAATCAGAGAAAACACTATTATATCGAGTGGCTAACAGCATACTCAGATGCAGCTCTATTTTTAGTAACAATAATACAGCATTCTCTCCGTCATACAATGTTTTAAAATGAATTACATGCTATTTAGCAACACAAGCCTTTATTAACCCTCGAGCGTCCTTCACAGAGCAGCACTTAATGAGTCCTTCGTGGACAAATCTGGGCACGAATCTCTCAGGTGTGATCCTAAATATTGTTTTAAATACATGTCATAATACTATCTTCACTAAAGTAAGACCACTCAATTTATGCATTTCTTTTGTGTGTTTTTGGTATTTTTAACCTTATTTACCTCTAAAATTACTAAATTACTCCATTGACTTTCATGTAAAATATGCTTATTTTTATGTATATTTATTTATTTATTTTTTCTTCAGTAAAAATATGAATTCCAGTAAGCTGAAACAGCCCAAACCTCAAACTTTGGCTTATTTTGGCGACATCTGGTGTCACATGTTGGTATAAAAGTAGTAATTTGATGAAATATCAATATTATCCACTAGATGGCTGCAGTGTTCACTGGCTGCATGTAGACTGAGATCTAAACCAGTGTTGTAACAAGCTGAACCTCTGAAGTTAAAATTGTAGAATAAAAAAACACACATTTGTGTAGGGTGAGACTATATACAAAGATGCCAAAATATGCTTAAAGAACAAGCATATATTCCACCAAGGACAATCTTTTTCAACATTGTTGAGTCAAGCCCAACTTGTTTTGTGTGTTCAGGAGCTAAACTTAGGAAAAAAGTAGCCAAGTCTTGTATCGCTCAGATTAAGGAAATATTTTTATTAAAAAAAATTAAAATATGTTGCCCACATTTGTCCCCAAGGATCATTTAGTGTTAATATGATATTGTAACATCGATGTGGCTTTACTGCAGTGTGCAGCAAGTGTCTGATAGCAGCCGCCGAGCGAGAGCACAGAGTAACGTTATTCTAGGCCGGTCACGATAACAACTTTGTGCGATATATTGCCCCAGAAATAATTGGATAAGCGATATTATTGTCATTTTAAATACCATTTTATGCCACTGAATATATAATCATAATGTAACAGCATAATAATGCAAGAAGGCCTTCACACTTCCAAATGACAACAAACTTTTAATTTTTAAGAATATTTAGATACCTTAAAAAACTTGAATAAATAGTAAATAAACATTTTCTAACAAAAAGTGCAAAGTAACAAGTAGAAAAAAAGAAAAAATGCATAAAGAACTTGCCTGGAGATTTTTCCCTGAACTTCTTTTCTCTGTAAAGTAAGGCTGCACACTATTGCTGAGAAACACAATCACTACTCAGCACTCAGATGTCTGTATGCACAGAGACACAGACCCCTCAACAAGACCATATCTGCAGATGAAACTTTGTTTGTAGAAGCATTAAAGAACAAACTACACCACGTTTTTATTAATGCTAAAACGTACAATTTAGACGTATTTCAACGTTTAAAACGTACAAATCTCTACGTATTTTTAGCTAAAATACGTACAAATATTTACATATCTTTTATATCATTAAGATATTCATATCAATGCATTTTTATCATTTTATCAATAAGCGATTTAGATTTTTAGACCCCTTAACCTACCCCCAAACCTTAACCTACCCATTTTATAGCGATATATATAAAGGATATAAAACGCAAATGACCGAAATACGCAGGAAAATAAAACTTTTAGTAACAATATAGCATTAAAATATATTTATAGTCGCTAACTCCACTCCTACCTATAAGCCTAAACATTTCTGTACAATATAAAAAACATAACAGACAGATAAATGCAATTAACGTTACAATCATTTATTTATTGCAAAAATGTCAAAAGCAGCACTAAAAGTAATCCAAATGACGATGCGTTGCACCCGCAGTCCTCTCTGGCGGAATACAGTAGGTTTGTGTGATCCAGAGCAGAATTTATGTTGTTAATCGCTGAAAATATTATGCAGATAATTGTGCCGATCCATTCCGTGAACTCGTGAAGGCGCGCGCGC